TTTCCTTGATCTTCGCTCTTTATTTTGATCTTTTGGATTAACTTCCACAGTACTCGGAAGAATTCCAGAAGTTCTGTTACTAAGAGCAGTAGCGATATACCCTAATTGATTTTTAATATTGTTAATAGCAGTTACTTGATTTTGTAATTGATTTCCTTGAATTTGTAATTGATTTCCTTGATTCTGCAATTGTTGACCCATGTTTAATATCAACCCTTCCATAGACAATTTCTGTTCCTTAATTTGAGTATTACTGTTAAATCCTGGAGGATAAGAAGGTCTATAATTAATATTTTCTTGATTGGACTCATTTCCCAAAGTGTTCGCTTGATTTTTCCTCCATTGTGGATCTACACTATTAATATTATTGTTATTCCAACTTAAATTTGGGTGATTTTTCCAACCAATGTTATAATAATTAGAATAGGGATTATTAGGTCGATTATTTATTGCATTCAAAGTTTCATATGATGATTGAGAACTATCATTTGTCAGAATGAATTTTCCTCAATCACAGGTGGTTTTTTAGATATATTCATTCCAAATTGATCCAACTTCTTTGATATTGCAGCGATTTGAGAAGCCAAAATAAAAATTGTGTTAGAGTCATGAACACTTGATACTTTTTTTGGATTTACCCTTTCAAAGAGCTATTGAAAATTGTTAGTAACCATCTCTTCAATTTATGAATATTTTTTTATGAATGGTTTTGACATTAATGATCCACCAACAGTAGCGTTAATAATATATCTAAGAGATTTCACTAATCCATTATAAAAGGTTTGAATTATTAACAATTCTGGTACAACATGGTGTGGACACTTCCGAAGGAGATCTTTAAATTATACTTGATTCCCATTCAAACTGACAAAAAGATGTAATATCATTTCTAAGCTTTGCAGTTTTTGATGGTGGGAAATAATTAACCAAAAATTTTTTAGATAATTCTCCCCAAGTTTTGATTGATCCATGTGCTAAAGAGTTTAACCACATCACAGCTTTGTCCCTTAATGAAAAAGGAAAAAGTCAAAGTCGGACGGTGTCATTCGATATTCTCCCCAAGTTTTAATAGATCCAGGAGCTAACAAATTTAACCACATCTTAGCCTTATCCCTAAGTGAAAAAGGAAAAAGTCTAAGTCTAACAACATCGTTTGAAACTCTGTCATATTTAAAGGTAGCAGATAATTCTAAAAAACTAGCGAGGTGTAAATTAGGATCTTCATTTGGTGTACCTCCGAATTGATTGTTTTGTACCATTTGGATAATGTCAGGTTTAAGCTCGAATGAATTAGCAGCTACATTAGGATTTTGGATAGATAAGTGAATTTCATCTGCTGTAGGATTTGTATAATCTTGTAGGAGTCTAGGTTGGTGTTCATTTTCTATTCCTTGATTGTTCATGTTGTTTTCCATTGTATCAAAATTTCTAGGTTCTCTTCTCAATCTTCTAATTTTTCTAACAGTGCATTCTAATTCCGAATCGTAGGGTATAAGATTTTCATGTCCAAATTTACGCAAATAATTTGAAATCAGTAGATAGTAAAACAGTTAACTATATATGAAAATAAGTTGTAATTTAAGTAAAAATTTTCTAATAATCCTAATTTGTACGTTACTCTAATTATTATTCTTGTTTACTCCCCGGCAACGACACAAAAAATTTAACAACGACTTTATATATGCTAAAAAATATAAGTATTTAATACTGTTGCTAAAAGATTTAATTCCTCAGCAACTTCACCAAAAACTTAATAGCAGTATGTGTATAAAATATTCAATAATTGCAAAGTCACACTTATCAATGCAAGTATACGTATTGCTCAAGTAATGTAGGGCTTTAATGGAGTCCTAGATATCGATCCCATATGGAGTAATATTAGAACTACGAACTAGGATTTTAGAAACGCAATACTTAATCGCAACAATGGAGTTCAAATTGCTTATCTAGGCAATTGAAATAAATATGTAATTTTAATAACTCTTAAATAACTAATTATAGTAATAAGGTTTTTAATGTGATATTCGATATATAAGAAAACGTCATTATCCTCGCTAAGAAATTATAGTGAATGGATAAAGTGAATCAGTTCAAATTGTATTGTGCCAAATGGGAGCCAAATAGGAGCATAAATAGGAGCATACATATTCTGTACCCTTTGGTCCAGGCATAAAGAACATTGACTAATCCTACACTTGTTTACTGAATCTAGGGCTAGACTGGGAGGATAACGGCTCTCACTTCGGAGCTCCCATGTTCCTATCGGCTGAGGGCTAACATCTAAACTTCAGCACCCAAACGATAGGAACAAATTAGAGATTTTAGTCTTTCACTTTAAAATCTCCAATTCTACGCCCAATAATTTTATTTCACTATTTATTTGCACCCAACTTCCAAGGGCTTTGACCTCCTTGAATCTTGAATGTAATCTTCACTTTAGTTGTAAAACTCA